TTCCGCTGTGAAGATACTTGTGCGTGGATGTAGAGGGCCAGCATCCGAAAGAATGGGCCGAAAGCAGCGTAGGACACAGAGGAGTTAGTCTTGGAGGCATCTGTGAAGAACTCAGGACGTGTGTATTTTGTGTTGAAGTTCCAAAAAGTATGTTCGGATATGGGCAATTGGTTGCATGTTTGTAACTTCTAGGAAAGACACATCGCAGTCTATAGTCTGCCACTGCCACGGTGGCGGGTTATGCTACAGGAGCCATTAAACTGTGTTCAAGTGACACTGCAGTTTCTTCAGCGAGATACTTCAGGCGAACTGAGGAGGGCTGCCTCATCGAAGGCTGTTTGGACACAGAGTTGAGCTCGACAATTCATTAATTGTATAGTATGAGGGGTGCTTCTTGTCTGATTCCCTTAAGGAAATAAACAAAGGACATGTAAGTTATCTGCAGATGAAGCGACCACTCATTTGACTCAACATAAAGGCTTTCTACGGGGCTGGTGCGAAAAGCACCCGTAGAAAGGCGGATGCCCAAATGGTGCACGGGGTCCAGAATCTTCAAGGCACTTTGAGTAGCAGACTGATAGACAACGGCCCCTAATCTAAGCGGTGCGAATGAGGCTTCTATAGAGGTTCATGAGGCATTGCCTATCACTACCCCACGTAGTACGTGACAACACTTTTATAACATTCATGGCTTTTAAACATTTTGTTTTTAAATACTTGATGTACGGTACGAAGGTCAACTTGTTGTCCAAGATTAAGCCTAAGAATTTATGCTCGGCTTTGACGGACAGACGTTGCCCGTTCAGTCGAATGTCAGGTTCCGAGTGCATGCCTGTCTTTCGAGAGAACAAGACACACGTGATTTTTTGTAGGTTAAGTTGAAATCCGTTTTCAGCTGCCCATTTGGAGACCTTATTTAAACCCAGCTGAACCTGCCGCTCACACATGGCCAAGTTGCATGACTTGAAGCCAAGCTGGACGTCGTCAACATACGTACAATAGAACATATTGCAGGGAATGGACAAGTGCAAAGAATTCATTTTGATAATAAAAAGTGTGCAACCCTAAGCACGCCACCTTGTGGCACGCCTGTTTCCTGGACAAATGTTTGGGAGAGCACACTGCCCAGACGGGACACGGAATGTCTGGTTTGACAGGTAACTTTCGAGTATATGAAACATTCTTCCGCGCACACCAAGGTGGGACAGGTCTCTTAGAATTCCGAAACGCCATGTTGTATCATACGCCTTTTCGATATCGAGGAACACAGAGAAGAAATATTGTTATGGACGAGGCGTCTCTGATCTGTGCCCCGATACGAACAAGGTGGTCTGTGGTTGATCTACTTTCTCGAAACCCGCACTGAAATGGGTCGAGCGAATTGTTTGTTTCAAGGATATGTACAAGTCGGCAGTTTATCATTTTTTCGAATACTTTGCACACGCAGCTTGTAAGTACCATAGGCCTATAACTTTGAAGCTAAGAAGGGTCCTTGCCCTCTTTCAAAGGGAATAGCAATAGCCTCTTTTCCAGGAGGTAGGGATAGTGCCAGAAACCAGATAGCATTGTACAAACAAAGTAAGGTTTTTCGTGTTTCGGCTAGTAGGTTTTTTTAAATTTCTTACACCACACGGTCAGAACCTGGGGCAGAAGTACTGCAGAAGTTTTAGAGAAGTTCGGAGCTCCGCCAGACTGTAAGCTTGGTTATACGCCTCGTATCTAGTTGATTTTGTGTTCGAGTTTCTGCTTTTCTACTCTTGTTCTGTATTTTTGGAAAGTGTCAGTATAGTGGGACGAGCTGTATACCGTTCAAAATGTGCCCCGAGGAAGTTTGCCTGATCTTCCAAGGTATCACCTTGAGTGTTTACGAGTGGAAGTGTGCGTACTTGTTTTCCTGCTATCCTACCGACCATGTTTCAGACTTTGGCCTCTTGTGTGTAAGAATCGATCTCTGATAAAAACTTCTGCCAGGTTCTCTTCTGGCCTGCCGCCGCGTTCTCCTAGCTTGAGACTCTTTGAAGATTTTTTTGAAGGTGTCAAGATTTTCGGCTGTCGGTGAGTTCCGAAGCAGTCTCGAAGCTCTGTTTTGCTGTTTGCGCGCGTTTTCGGCATTCAGAGTTCCACCATGGCACACGCCGTTTCCAGGGTGTCCATTTGTTTGTGGGATGCATTTTGTTGCAGCATCAATCAAAAACGCTGTGAAGAAGTTGACAGCAACATCAATGTTCAAAGTACATATGTCAATCCAACCTAGATGAGCGATGGTATAAAACTGTTCCCAGTCGGGCTCTGTTTATGAGGCACTTGGGAACCCGTGGTGGACACTCAGTTACTGTATTTGTGCTCAAAACTACGGGGAAGTGGTGACTTCCGTACAGATTACTGATGACTTTCCACTGGAGTAGAGACACAAGGGATGGAGATACTATGCTTAGGTCTATGGAGGAGTAGGTGTTATTGGCGAGATTATAATAGGTTGGTTCTTTTTGTTTTAGGAGACACGCACTCGACGAGAGAAGGACGTTCGATCAGTCGACCTCGCGCGTCATACCGAGAGTCACCCCATAGCCTGCTATACGCATTAAAGTCTCCAAGGAGAACATAAGGTTCCGGAAGTCATCATTTAAAGAGTGTAATCACGTTTTTGCAGCTGATAGCTAGGAGGAATGTAAATTGTGCAGATTGTGATCAGTTATAAAAAAAACCGCTCGAACAGCCACTGTCTCAAGGGATGTTTGGAGTTGTAAGTGTGTGCATGCAATTCCTTGATTCACTATTGTTATAACCGGCCCCCGCGGCTGAGCCGCGCGCCGAAATGCACGAACAGAGTGGCCAGGGCAAAAAGCGAGCGTTATTGTCCGGCTTGGGTTTTTATAAGAACGAAAGGTAAGGGAAGGGGAAGAGGGAGATAAGCTAGAAGGCGCGCGCAGCGTAGACTGGCAGCGCTTGTTTAGCGGTGGCGAACAGTTCGTGGCATTCCTTCTTCCTAGAATCCATAACGCTCCACTGGCTTCTTGATACGTGTGGAACGTCTTAGCTCTGGGGACGGGTGGTCCGGAAGACCGGGGCCAGTAGCCGTTGGAGCTTCGCAGTCTTGTACTGGAGGGTCCGGGCTTATCTGGGGACTAGTGAGAGCCTCTGGACTCTACGGTTCTTCGATGCTTCTCCGCCTGAGCTGGTCCATGTGCCGGTGAACAAGCCCGTTCTCCGTGTCGACAGACACGATGCGTGCACCAGAGGTGACCGGACCTTCCCAGGTGTCCACTTGTCACACGGCCGTAATTGCGAAGGTACACAGGGATCTCCCGGTGCGAAGTTCCACTCGGCGCTGTCAGCAGAGTGGACATCCCCTGTTGCTCGGCTCCTGGGAGGAAAACACATGTCTAATCGGGTGTGGAGTGGTAACCCAACAACATTTCTGATGGTGATGCGCCCGGACGGAAGCGGCGTGTTTCTATAGCGGCACAATGTTCTAGCCAGCGCCCTTGACAAGTCTGCGTCCCCACACTTCTTTAGTCCGTCTTTGATGGTTCGCACCGCACGTTCGGCGAGTCCATTACACTGTGGATGGTACGGGGGGGCCGCACGTGAACTACCCCCGTTCTGTTGCAAGAACTCCTTGAACTCCCATCCGGTGAATGGCGTGCCATTATCAGACACTACTGTGTGTGGCAGACCGAATCTACTGAACAGCGTTCGCAGGGCATCGACTGTGTTGCGCGAGGTCGCGTGAGCCAGGGGAATGGCCTCAATCCATTTACTGTGAGAGTCCACGACGACAAGAAGCATCTTGTTTTGGATCGGACCCGCGAAGTCGACATGCAATCGCGACCATCTTTCCTGCGTCTCTGGCCAGCGAATGGGTGCTTGCGCGGGTGGCATGGGCAACGCCTGTACGCAGTGCTGACACACAGCGGTTAAGCGCTCAATATCGTGGTCCAAGCCAGGCCACCCAAATTTGACCGTGCAACTACCTTCATTGCAGAAACTCCTTGATGAGCTCCATGTAATAACTTCAGTAGCTTCTTCTGGCTTCCGTCGGAACCACAACACGATGACCCCAGTGAAGCAAGTTATGCTGCACGGACAGCTCGTTCCGCCTTTTGTGATACTCCCCGCATCTCTGTGCCTTCCTCCGCAGTGCGTTGTGGCCAACCTTGGATGACGTATCTGCACACACTTGACAGTACGCCGTCTGACTGCGTGAGGGCTTGAAGCTCTTTCATGGGCACCGCCGGCTCGTCCCACTGGTCCACGACGAGGACGTACTCGGCCGCATCCTCGTCGTCCTGCAGCTCCTGTTCAAGAGATTGGGGTAACCGGCCTAATGCATCCGCGTTGAACATAAATTTTCCCGGCCTGTACTGCAGTTTATACTTGTATGCACCAAGTAGTAGCGCCCATCTTTGTATTCTGGCTGCCGCCATGACGGGGGTCTGACGGTCGTGCCTTAACAGGCCCAGCAACGGCTGGTGATCCGTAACCAGAGTGAACTCTCGGCCCAACAGGTAGTCCCTAAACTTATTAACACCAAATATCAAGGCTAACGCCTCGCGCTCGATCTGAGAGTACTTTCTTTCGGCAGTTGTCAGCGTTCTCGATCGAAAGCCTACGGGTCGCTTCTCGCCTTCGGCGTGATGAAAAAGTGTAGCACCAACTCCGTATGGGGACGCATCACACTCTAAGAAGAGCTCACGGTTCGGATCAAAATGAGTGAGTATTGGTGCCACGCACAACGCATTTTTCACCTGGGCAAAGGCTTTCTTTCGTTGGTGCTCCACGTCCACTTAGCGCCCTTTTTCAGCAGTTTGTACAACGGCGCTAGAATGGTAGACAAGTCGGGCATCAACTTGTTATAAAAGGTTACCATGCCCAGAAATGAGCGTAGCTCGCAGACGTTCTGTGGAGAAAGGGCTAGCCTGATAGCATACACGTTCTTTTCCATGGGATGCAGTCCATTCGCGTCAATACGGTGACCTAGATATGTAACAGAGGGCTCGCTAACGCGGGCACTTATCAGCACGAAGCTTAATGCCATGTTCACAGAAGGGCCCAAGCACAGCCATCAGATTGCGGTTTTCGCTGTCACCCTCTTCCGCTATCAACACGTCATCTAGGTACGCTTGCACCCCAGACAAGTCCTGTAGGATTGATTCAATCCGCCTTTGAAATATCGCCGGTGCCGAAGCAATCCCAAACGGGAGGCGGTTTGAAGCAAAGAGGCCCTTGTGGGTGTTTATCACGGCCAATTTGCGAGACTCTTCGTCTAGCAGGATCTGGTTGTAGGCGTCGCGCAAATTCAAAATGCTGAACCGCTCCCCCCCACCTAATTGTGCAAAAATATCCTCAATAAGAGGCAGCGGGTATTGTTCCAGCTCGCATACTAAGTTCAAGGTAACCTTGAAGTCACCGCAAATGCGAACTGTGCCGTCTTTCTTTAAGACTGGAACAATGGGCGTAGCCCATTCCGAGTGCGTCACTGGTGATATAATCCCAGCTGCCACGAGTCGATCTAATGCCTCTGAAACTTTATCCAACAGAGCGTAGGGTACCTTTCTTGCCTTGAAGAACTTTGGCGTCACTCCAGGCTTGATGTGAAGGCGCACCGGTGGGCCTTTCATGAGTCCTACGCCCTCCGTGCACAGGTCGGAAGTAGCGGTCCAACACAGCAGGCGCGGGCGGAGACTCCGGGCTCGCCCCGAGTGCTGGCGCAGCTACGTGGAGTACTGCTGTGCCCTGCTCTTGAAGTTTCTGCAGCAAATTACGACCGCACAGGAGAGGACCTTCGCAGTCCAAGACGATTAGGTTGCAATAAACCTCCGCCAATTTGTGGCATACACGCATTGACAGTACTCCGAGTACGGGTAGCTTCCCCAAATAGCACGCCAGCTTTATCTTCGGCTCCTGCAACTTCGGCCATTGATGACGGTGGGCTTTGTAGGTTGCTCTAGGAATGACGCATACGGACGAGCCGGTATCCAGGTCCATCTTCAGCTTTACGCCGTTCCACATGAACGTTTCCTGAATCGGTGGCACCAATGAATTCTTCGAAGTTACGGACCAAAGTTGCGACGCGCTGCTATCACTGTCGGTGGCTTGGGCTGTTACATTCAACGCGTTGTCGATCCTTTGGCACATGCGTGCCAAGTGCCCTTGTTTTCCACATTTGTAACAGTGCCTCTCACGCATTGAACAGGTCGCACGCTTATGATTACGCAGCACTCGCATGGCTTTCCGTCTTCGTTTTTCTTCTGGCCTCGCGGCACCCAGCGTTGCTCTTCATTGCCGACTCTGTAACCGGGGGCCTTTCTCGATTTATGTTCTCCGCATCTAACTCTGCCCTTTCTGCCGCCAACGCAAGTGCCTCTGCTTCTTGTAATGTCAACTCAGGTTTCGCGAGCAGCTGCTTTTGCAAATTTCTTGAACGTACCCCGCACACGATACGGTCTCTTAACATCCTATCCAGCATGGACGAGAAGTTGCAGTTAAGCGCTAGGCGCCGTATTTCCACAATGAATGCGTCAACAGACTCTTCTTCCTGCTGGTTTCGGTGGAAAAACTTGAAGCTTTCTGAAATTTCGTTTGGTCATGGGTCATAATACTCGCTTAGAACTTTCACTACCGCATCGTAGCCGAGTGCGTTTGGCTTCTGCGGTGCCACTCTACCGCATAGTACATCAATCGTTCGCGACCCAAGTGCGGCTACCAACAGGGCTCTTTTTTCTGGCATCATCAGTGACTTCGTTTGCTTCAAAATAAGCCTCAACCTTCACGAGGTACGCTTGCCACTTATCTGTGTCGTCGTTGAATTCCGGGAGGCGGTGACTCATGGCTGTCGATGTGGTGGCTGCTTGCCCGCCTTCAGGAAGCAGCTGGGTCTCGTTTCTTTGTTGAAATCCTCGTCGCCACTGTTATAACCGGCCCCCGCGGCTGAGCCGCGCCCCGAAATGCACGAACAGAGTGGCCAGGGCAAAAAGCGAGCGTTTATTGTCCGGCTTGGGTTTTTATAAGAACGAAAGGTAAGGGAAGGGGAAAAGGGAGATAAGATAGAAGGCGCGCGCAGCGTAGACTGGCAGCGCTTGTTTATCGGTGGCGAACAGTTCATGGCAACTATGATGATAACACCTCCGGATGATGTCATGGCATCATCACGGTCCTTTCGAAAAATAACGTATTTACGAAGAAAATTTGTGTTTTCGAATTAAGGGTGTGTTTCTTGTACACACAGCACTTTTGGTGAGTGTTCATGTAAGAGTTCTTGGATGTCGTCAAGGTTTCTGAGAAGGCCCCTGACGTTCCATTGTATAATTTGAGTGTTCATGGTGAATGTAAAATAATGCTGTGTGTACGAAAAGCGAGTGGCTGTTTAGACGGGGAGTTTGAGTTCACTTAACAGGGCCGTCACGAGGCCCTGTTATTTGCTTTTTGTTTTCTTGGCGTGCTCCAAGGAGCCACGTCGCTTTTTCGGCACCAAGGGTGCCGACGTATCTATCGCCCTCCTCGAAGGCACTGGATGCCGCACGTGCGGGTTGTTAAGTTCGGATTTCGGGCCTCGCCTGGTGATGGGAGGCCTTGAGACCCGAAGACTCTGGAGTCCTCCGGCTCTGTTTGGGAGCAGGCGTGTAGCCTGGGCTACAGCCGCCTTGAGGGCAGGTGCCACAACCACCGGCTCGGCATGCGCGGGCCGAAGGAGTAGCGAGGGCTGGTGCGGCGGTGCCCCTGACGCGCCGCATCAGCGTATGTAGGTCCATAGAATGGAGCGACTCTTCGCCGTGCTTCCTTAAACGTAATGTTCTCCTTCACCTTCAATGTAATTATTTCTTTTTCTTTTTTCCAGTATGTGCAGGAGCGTGAATATGCGGCATGGTTTCCTTAGCAGTTTACACAGTGTGGCGGTTGTTTGCAGTTCTCAGACACGTGGCCTAAGACTCCCACATTGTGCACAAGTCTGGCGACCACGACAGGTTTTAGAGCCATGGCCATACCTCTGGCATTGGAAGCAACGACGAGGGTTTGGTATATACGGCCTCATAGATGTCTTTGTGTACCCTGTTTGAGTAGTTTACTGGATGCAAACGTGAGTATCAAGTGTTTCGTTGGTATTTCCTTATTATTTCTTCTGATGATAATATTCTCTGTACATATTGACATTTTGGCTCTTCCACCCTTCCAAAAGTTCAGTTTCGGTGAGTTCAAGTAAGTCTGCATCAGATACCACTCCGCGAGTGATGTTCATGGATCTGTGTGGTGGTTACGGTGATCGGCACGTCACCAAACGTTGAGAGGCTGTCTAGCTTTACAAATTGTGCTTTGTCCCAAATTTCGAGAAGAAGGTCTCCGCTAGCCATTTTGGTTACTTTGTATCCAGCCCCGAGAGTTTCAGTAAGACACCTGGCAACTACGAAAGGAGATACGGTCCTGGCTTGCTTTCCGATTTTTTCACAGTGAATGACGTGGAAGTGGGGAAAAGTTTCTATTGGCTGGTTGAAGAAGTTTATGTCGTCGGTGCGTACCCGCTTTAGGCCGGTACGATCAGACAGTTGAGGAAATGCTCCATGCATGCCGGTCTTATTTTTGTTCAGCAGCGTTGGCGGCCACCCACCACGGAGCCCAACGAGGGGACGCTACAAGTTTACAGATGCTGAAAAACTGCAGACGCCAGCCATACAACGCCACTATAACCCAATGCGCCTAGACCAAGGTAGGCTATTGCACAGGGTTAACCCTAGCCGCCAGGAAGTTGGAAGTAAACGGAAGAGAGTAGAAGACAGGACAGATAAATAGTAAGAGATAAAGACGGAGATGTAGGGAGAGAGAGATAGGAAAAGGCGACTGCTGATTTCCCCTGGGTGGGTCAGCCCAGGGGTGCCGTCTACGTGAAGCCGGGGCCAACAACTTTAACGATTACTTACTAATATTGGTCTCAGCCTTGCGAGGAAGTTCCTGATCATATGCCGAATTTAATGCACCCTGTACTGTTACCAATAATTTCGATCTATGTGATGTAACTGAGGATGACATCTGACAAGTAATTATTAAGTTACCAGGGAACAAGGCAGGTGGCCATGACGCCATATCATCAAGGATTTTAAAGGAGAATATTGATGTTTTGTGTGGTCCCTTATGCCATATATTAATCATGCATTTTCCTCTAAACTTATCCCAGTATACTTAAGACCGCCAAAGTAATACCAGTGTACAAATCTGGTGATCGGAATCTTCCGGACAGCTACAGAACAATATCTGTCCTGAGTAGTATTAACACTACGCTTGAAAAACTAATTTCGTCACAATTAAGGCGCTTCCTGGGTGAACAGAATGTACTTTGTCCCCAGCAACACGGCTTTGTTGCAAACAGGTCCACTTCAACTGCTGTTTCGATGCTTACGCAATATATTAATTCCGCGCTACATGAAAACAACATAGCAATAGCAGTATTTTTTGACATACGAAAGACATTTGATGCTATTAGCCATTCCTTTTACTGGAAAAATGCATTCCTATGGGATAAAAGGTAACTCGCTTGATTTTTTTTCTAGTTATTTATCGGCACGCAAACAAAAGGTAGTCATTGGTGACATCAAGTCATCTTACGGTTATATTAAATGCGGGGTGCCAGAGGGGTTCAGTTTGGGCCTATATTGTTCTCTCTTTATATTAATGGGTCCCGCGATCCCTACAGAGGTCAAAGGCACTGATGTACGCGGACGAAACTGTTTTAGTTTCACAGGACACTCCTTAGCAGATTTACAAAATGACGCGATGACCGATTTATCGAACATTTCGGAATGGTTTGCCAGGAATCAGCTGACTGTTAACTGTACTAAAACAAAGTACGTGGTGTTTCACTCTCGTAGGAAACATATTGACGCTGAATCTCTTAACCTAACAATAAACATCTCTCCTATTCAACAAGTTCCTTGTTTTAAATATTTAGGCGTCACTTTTGATGAACATTACACTGGCATGAGCAAGTACAGAGTGTGGTGCGCAAGGTAGCCTATGGCTGCTATTCTTTATAAAAGCTCGCCAATATTTTCCACAAGCTATACTTCGCACACTCTACTTTTCATTGTGTCATTGTCACATAGGTTACTGTCTGGAATCGTGGGGTGTGACGTACAACAGTTATCTAAAAAACTCTTGAACGACTTCAAAAGCGTACACTGAAAATTATAAGTCATGGTGAATCAGTAAGTAATATTTCCAATCACAACGCATTCTCCTCGGTTCCGATGTTGCGTGACTACAAAATTGCCGCCCTAGTAAATAACATATTTAATAGAATTCACCTTTGCCTGCTGATCTTTTTTTAATTCCTAAACGCAATACGCGACATGCTTCGAATGGTAATTTCAATCTGCCCAAATGTTTTAATGTCTACGGAGAAAGACTGATACAGTTTAATGAAACAAAAATATGAAACACGGTCCCCCTAGAAATTAAAACGGCACGTAATTTCAGCATGGCATGTAAATCAGTTTTTCTGTGGAGTCAAGACATGTAAGCATGTGTGTGTTTGATTCGATTTTCATTGTATTTTTTTAATAAGTGCCTATCTATAGAACTAGCTGCAAGCTAATAAGTATGCATATCTGAAGGAAAAATGTATTACTTTGTT